AAAAAGCACATCCAGCAAATTCACATGGATGTGCATTTTTAGAAAGTCATTATTTGCTAATCACAAATTAAATCCTGCTTTTTTAATGTCTAAAGTTCAAGAAATGTCTGACCACATGCTTATCAATTTGCCTGTTAATGGAAAAATCCCAGGCCTGTGTTTACATAGTACTTTCCTCTGAGAAGAAGGCCTTGTGGCATAGTGGGTTATGCATTACCCTGCTAATCGCATGGTCAGCAGTTTGAAACCTTCAGCCAATCTGCAGGAGAAACAGGAGGCTTTGTACTCCTGTAAAGATTTTACAGCCTCGGAAACCCAGTTCTACTGTGTCCTCTGAGGTTTCTATAACTCAGAGAAGACTTGATGGCGGTGAGTGAGTTTCTTTAGGAACCAGGAGCCCGTGTGGCTTACTGGATTGGTTATTCACGGAACTGCTGGCCACAAGGTCAGCGGTTTGAAACTGCCAGCCACTCCATGAGAGGAAGATGAGGCTTTCTACTTCACAGCAACCCACAGTGGCAATTCTTCTCTGGCCAGTAGGGCTGCTATTAGTCTGAATCCACGTGAAGGCAGTTTCTTTGAGATAATCACAATATTTGATAATCATGATCTCAGTTTTTCCTCAAAAGTGAACAAAGGTCTTCTGAGGAGGCCTAGTTTCTTGGAATCTAAGTCTACGCCATCAATATAGCGAAGAGCCAGGCTGGTTTCTAGGTGCAAATCCAGTCTGGAGACCAGAAAGCAGTAGGTCATTAGATTAATGTCTGGAATACCATTCTTTGTACTCATGTAAAAAAAATAATGCTGAAGCAGAGAGCTCCTTCAGAGGCACTCTCAGGACCATGTCCTAAGACAGTGTCACTAGTTGGACAACTTCCTGAGCCATCTCTGCATATTGCCTCCGCTGCTGCCTCGTCAGCTCACAGGAATGGTCTAAGGTCAACGCATCTATTCTGGAGCCCAGAATGGAAGGATCAGCTGCACTTTCTTGATTAGCATTCTGTAATGTTTGTGCTGCCACCACCAAAAGAACTATTTCCTATACCATTTTATAACCGGTTAGCTTCCCCAATAAACCCCATGAGCGTGAATATTGTCTGTGAATTCCGTGTGGATATTGCAACGGTTAATCAAACCCAGCAGAGAACTAGAGGGCCATGGAAAGGTATCTGAAAAAGTAAAGGAAGTTGGAGGGTGGAGGCCTGGCTGACCTCGGTCTCACAGGAAGCATCCTTGTGCAAGTGTGGGATTGTCCGCTCTCCCTCTTCTCTGTAGCGCCCATGGCATTTCCTCAGGAGCCTGTTCTGCACTAACGTCTGCAGTTTAGGTCCCTTCTTGTGTATTCTCTCTTTGAATGGACTCCCTCTCATCATCTCGGTTGATTGAATTTTATGTAGACTGAAATTTCCAGCTCCATTCTTCAAGTCTCCTCATAACCCTTTTGTCCTTTGCTCTGAAAAATCTCTTTGCCTAGGACCCAAATTCAGCTCTTCTTTCGCTAGAGAGTATTTGTTGCTGCCGGGTGTCATTGCGTTAGCTTGTGACTCATAGCAACCCCACGTGATGAAGTAAAATTGCTCCAGAGTGCTTAATAGGCTGAGGACCTCAGGGAAGCTGGTTCCACAGCCATTCTCCCACAGAGCTGCTGGGTTTGAACCTCTAAACCTCAAAACTTAGGGTTACTCAACAGCTTAGCCATGGTATGTTCAGAAATGTTAAGTATATCTTATTCCTCCCCTCCTCAGTTTAAACAATTTATTTTTAAATTCCATTACCATTTGAGAAATCTCTCAGCATACCTATTCAAGGAACAAGTTCTCTAATGTAATTCTATTGATATTTTAAAAGCAATGCTATTGTTACTTTTATTTTTAATACTTATATACTGAATGTGTTGGTACATTGTTCTAAAACCGCTGTTTGATGTCCATCTTTCATATGCTGCTCTTTTGAACCCTTTAAATACATTTTTCCTCAAGCCTCCCAGCCCCCATATGAGAAAGGACTGCCTTCTAAAAATAAATATTGGTAGACTCCCTGCTAATGCAAATTTTAAATTGGCAAACCCTCTAGGCTCAAAAGCTTTCAAACTTGACAAACAATGCTCGGATTTTAAGTTTTTAAATGTCAACGACCAAAGAAGACAACGGAATAGATGAAGGAGGAACGTGAAGACCAAGACTCCAGGAACAGCCAACTAGAGAGCAGAGTACAGCCCATGAGATTCTAAAAAGGGAGGGGTAATCTAAATTTCCAGGCTTTCCTGAGACTGATTTTCAACTACTACATTATTAAAAAAAAAAAAAGTTGGGAATATGGAAGACTCGCCTTTATTTTAAGAGGGGCATCTTGCCAGTGAACCATTATGGAGAATTGCTTCAAAATACATAAATTTAAAATGTCTCTTGAAAGAGTTCTCGGCTGAGAGACCTCTACATTTAGGATCAAATCAGTCCCTTCTGGGATTTGAAACATTTTAGAAAACCATCTGACTCTATCAAATCCATAGAATTAGATCTGATCATTAGACATGTTTTAATATATAATGTAAATTCCAAATGTTTCCTGATTAAAGACAAAATCCCAACGGGAGCCTCTGCCTTGAGTTCATACAATATTGCTGCATTTCTGTTGCAATGGCATTTTGTGTTGTCCTGCATGTATATTTTAACATTCTTGTTAATGTGATTTATCACAACCACTTTTTGGATTTCAATATTTGTGGTCTTTAGACAAAGAATAGCAGGCAGATTTTTTAGTAATATCATTGCTTGTGATGAGTAGAAAAGCCTGTAGGGATGTTCGCTGTGACAAATGCAATGCCTCCTTTAGTAGTGGTGCAGTGGGTAAGGCTGCTAAACACAATGTCAGTGATCCAAACCAGCTGCTTGCAGCTAAATAGAGGAGCAAATGCCCCTAAAGCCTTGGCAACCTTAGGGAGCAGGTTCAGACTGTCCAGTAGGCTTGCGAGGGAGCACGGACTGCATGACAGGGGGTTGGAAGCGCAGTGGTTAAAGCGCTCACACTGTTGCAGTTCCAAATTAGAGGGGCACTTTTTGATCACATCTCTCTAGATTCTTTTCAAATTTTATTGTGGTTGTTTGTACGTACAACTAAACAGTTTCATCTTAAGTTTACCTTTTGATGAGTTTAACTGCGTTAAATGCTAATTTAACTGCTACCCCAAGCAAATATAGAATCTTTTCAACACTCCTCAAAATTTCCAGGGTCCCTGTGCAGACAATTTCCCCAAGTCCTTGCCTTAGCTAGCTATAAGTTTCAGCCACTAGATTATTTTTGTCTATTCAAAAGTTTCATATAAATCACATCATGAATAACATACAAATGACTCTGACGTTTGAATATACCATCATTTATCTACTCACTTTTGAAGTATGTCAACTTATGTCTGTTGTGAGGTTATTATACACAGATGAACTTAGAACATTTGTGTACAATGTACACTTATGAACATATATTTCCATTTATCTTTTATAAAACCTAGAAGTACAATTGCTGGATAATATGGATAACTGTATGTTTCACTTTATAAAAGAAAACTACCAAATTGTTTTCCACCAATGTGCTTATACTACTTATAGTCCCTTTATTAATGTATGAAAGTTTCATTGTGACTTTATCATCACCAACACTTAATATTGTCATTCTTTTTAATTTCAGCATCATAACGATTGTGTAATGGTACCTCATTGTGACATAAATTTCTTTTTATTTAATAAAGATAGTGAAGATCTTTTTATGTTCTCAGTGTTTATTCATAAATCTTATTTTATGAATGATTTCTTTAAACTTCACTGTAGACTGAATCTTAGAATAATGCTAAAGAATTATTTAAATTAGACATGAATTACTGTATTTATCAAATATACATAAGGCAAATGTTCTTTTCTCAGCATTTTCACTTACTCCTTTCTGGTACTTTTAATTGGAAAATTCATTTGTCTCTTTTTTCTTTCCTTTTTTTTTCTCTTTCTTTAAAAGTTAGGAATGTCTGTACCCTATGAAATCTTTGCCTACCTCAAGAGTGATGACTTACTTTTTTTTCTCTTCTGAGTAAGGATATCTGGTGCACAGTAGGTAAAATGCTTCACGGTTAACCTAAAGGTTGGCAGTTCAAACCCACCAACCTACCCGCAGTAGAAAGATATGGCAGTGTATTTTCAGAATGGTTGATACCCTTGGGGATGGTCACTAAGAGCTTTTTATTCCTTCTAAATATATAATAATTTTATATGGCACACAAACACACTCTATTCATTTTCATATTTGAATTTTCTAATGTCTGGAGTACACTTGTTCCTTGTATAATTTCTAGACTTAAGGACATATTCTAAAAACAATATAAAGATATCAAAGAAGTCCATCTCTTCAAGTTCTACCTTTTATTCTACTGTTTCAGTTCCAATGAAATAAGGTCCACGATCCTTTTGATTCCCCTCCTGTCCATTCGGAGGTGATTATACAGCCATCAAGCGGCCGGCGCAAGGACCTCTGGGTGTTTAGTCTTTGTCAGCTGCCGTCTTCCACGACAGGCAAACTGTTTCCAGATCAAAGAGAGGTGGTCTCGCAAACGCCTTATGACCCATCAACACTCAGGTAATTTAGCATTCTGCCTCAAAGAAGACAAAATCACTAACTGACATACAACTCATCTCTACCTTGAGAAACCAATGCCTTTATTGGAATATGTATTTACGAAACTTCTTTTCTCCATAATGAGGAAAAAAATGAAAGTGTTCTCAAGTCAGAAAAACAGACTGAGAAAGTAACTCAAGAAACAGTCTCAACAATATGTTTTTTGGGGGGACTGGCACACTCAGTGACTAAAATATTACCCGTTCGGTCTTACATTACAGTGTGACACACACGACTCTACTTTTCGCTCTCCTTCTGACTCTTGAAATTCCCGTTTTGTCAAAGAACGATGTAGTCAACATGCTAGTTCTCATAACCAAACTCAGGTAAGTTAAATGGCTTACCTTTGACTGACAGGTGTCTCCACGTCACCGTTGGCTCAGGTCTGCCAATTGCAAGACACAGTAGGGTCACACTGCCTCCCTCATTCACGGTGATGTCTGAGGAAATATTCATGATCTGTGGAGGAACTGTTACGAAAAGAACCGACTTAATCTTTGCATTTCAAAAGAGGGTTAAGCTAACACAAATCTGTACAGCATATTTTACAGTGAAAAGTATTCTCAGTAATATTTTTGACTTAATTTGCCAAAGCTGTAGATGAACCCATTTTCATACTTTCCTAGTCCATGGATCACTGAAATAAATCTAATAGTAGCTCAGAAGGTGCTGTACCTGTAGAACAACTACAGGAGCCAAAGGCAGACATTCCTCCTTATTGACAGAAAGGCAAAGGAAAAGAGCAGTTAGACAGATAACCAGGAACATCTCACATAGCTGCCCTTTCTTTCCAACAACTCACACAAACGGCCAGTCTCAGGGAGTTAGTACCATTCGCTGGGACCTCCAGAGCATTGCCAATTCTCCCACATTACAAAGATTGTTCATTTTACGATGTCCTCATGTCTTTACAAGACGATTACTACTCAGTTCTTAAAACCTATTCTTAAAAACTCGGTGCATTTTCTCTGACTCCTCTGCTTAGAATTATTTGCTTATTCCTCTGATCCTCATTGGCTATGTATTTATGACCTTGCTGTTATTATACCAAAAGAAATTGTATATAACATTTCAATGGTAACATATACTATTGGTTAGGTACAGTATTCTTGATTCCAATAGAACAAAGTTGAAATCTTAACTCAGTTCCTTATCTGCTCTGTGATCATGGGCAAGTTAAACCAGTTTCATTTCCTTGTTTTGTTTTTCTCACTCATGAATTGAGGAAACCATTTCACAGACAGGCCTGTCATAGCTGATTTCATTGCTCCAAGATGTCTAAAGGCACCAATGCAAGAGAAAGCTGAGCAGAGTGCCTGATAACAAGAAAATACTCAATAAACCTTATCCACTAATAAGAGATTGGTGTTGACCATGGGAGGAGATTGTCATCTCAAACAATGGCCATATTCAATTATCTTTGACTCTACAAAGCTTATACACTTAGGATTTATTTTCACCTACAGGCCCTGATTTGAATCCATCTCAAAGTTCAGTATTAGAAAATTCCTAGACCCTTTCCCAATGCTTACTCTTCGCTGTCATTGCCTTGGTTTCATTTCTTTTTTTTTTTTTTAAATCAATTTATTGGGGCTCATACAATTCATCACAATACATAGATCAATTGTGTAAAGCACATCTATACATTTGTTGCCCTCATTATTCCCAAAATTCGCTTGCCTCTTGGGCAATCCACTCATTTTCCTTTTTTTCCCCCTCCCCTTCCCTTCCTCCTCCCCTCTCCCCCATGCACCCTTAATAATTTATAAATTATTATTGCCGAGAAACTGCATAGCCGCTTATCTAGCTTCCTCCATTTTGGTTACCTTTAACATCTCCTTTACCTGGGACCAGAGTGCTGTTTACAGATAACCATCTTATCAAAGTACCACTCTCTTTACTTCCTTAGGGCACCATGGTCTATGAGGTTTAGCACAAACTTTTCTGCACAACCTAAATCTGGAATCTAATCCCACCTTCTTTCTTGGTGCTGCTAGGAAGAGTGGCTTTAACAAATGGATTTATATTCTGACAGTTTAGGAAACTAGAAGTCAAAAACCAGGAAGCTGGACCTAAGGGAAGACTGTTTCTCTGAAAGCTCTGGGGAAGGATCGGGTCTTTCAGGTTTTATTCCTCTGTAGCTTATAGATCTGCAGGTGTCTGAGATATCTATTGCTTCTATTGCAGAAGCACAACAACAAAGGTGAGTTAAAACAAATATTTGTTCTCAAGTGATTTGAGGCTAGAAGTCTGAATGGGGGGCCTCGAGTTCTGGACAAGAGTGCTCTTCTCCCACTCTGGAGGAGCGGCCTCGTCTCTCCAGCTGCGGCTTCTTGGGCCCTCGGAGGTTTCCACACATCACACTCTCCATCGTATCCCCCCTCCCTTATACTCGCTGGTTTCATCTGCTCTACAGCTGAAAAGTGATCCATTCACAGAACATCTTTACACAAACCTGGCCCTATTAGCATAACAAGGGCAGATCATTCCTAAATGAGATTATAGAGTTAAGAATTTACCACACATACTCGGGGCAGGGGTGGGGGTGGGGGTGGGGGACATAATTCTATCCACAGTCCCATAAAAGGTAGTATGTATCTTTTATTCTGTGCTTCTTTCCTTGTGAATAATATACTCCTTTTCTATCTCAAAGAGTATTGATCTAAGACAGCCTGTACTGATATGGTCTCATTCATATAGCAAAGAAAGATCTTTAGCCAAATTGGATAACATCTACATGCATATATATTTTGGAACACAACTCCATTTATAACAGCCCTTTAAGCCAAATGTTGAGCTCCATTTGATCCCTTCCCAGCACAACACATTACAACCCCTGAATGACTTCACTTGAATGTGTCAAAAGCATAAATCCTCCAAAAATTGTTTTTTTTTCTGCATCTGTCCTTAATTTTTTACCTGAAACAGAAATTACTCAATTTCTATCTCCTTTCTTTAGTTCAACCAAGTTTCTCCTACTCTCTTGAAGAAAGCCTCATCCCTCTCCCCCGCTGCATTCTGTCCACATTCGCTTGCCTTTGGGAGGGGAATAAGCAGGCTGCAAGGTGCTGATGGAGACACCCTTGTCTTTTTACATACAGCAGTTGAGGATCAGAATTAAATTGTACACATCTCTATTTCTTCAGTGTTTATCACAGAGGTTGGAAGAATCTATGCTTCATTTCACTTTGGCAGAAAAATCCAATGAAGAGATTGAACAAATAAAAAACCTGAGGGAGGTGAGGCTTCTGAAATGGAAGATTTCAGATACCAAAACTCTCATCTAGATCCTCAAAGCAATAAGAAAATGAAGAGGAGCCAACACTTAAGTGGGCCCAAAGAACGGATAAGGAAAACCTGGTGCATATACATTGAACAGAATGTTACACAGCCACACAGAGAATGCAGGCCTGATTTACGCTATAACACGGACAAACGTTGAAAGCAGGATGCTGAGTGGAATAAGCCAATCAAAACAGACACATATTGTATGACCACACTTACATGAAATAGGTAGAATAGGCAAATGTATTGAGACCAAAATGTGTTAGTAGTTGCTGGGGGCAGAAGAAGGGAAATCATTGCATGGGAATGGTACCTTTGTGTTTATTGTACTGGGAGTTCATCATCCATTAAATGTAATGGTCGAACAACATAATAAATGTAATCGATACTACTAAATTATCTGCCTGAATTATATTGAGGTGGCAACATTGTGTCACATCTATTTGTACAATAAAAAGTGTCACAGTGATGTGGCACCAGATCTACAATTAGGTTGATCTCCTTACTGTCAGTTTAATTATGAATTAGTAATTATCAAGCAAGTAGAACTCAGTAGCACCTATGTGTGGCAAAAGAATTATGGCAGACGCCTTAGTGTGACAGTAGTGCAGCCTGGAATTTTATGTTGTGGGGACCGTCGAGGTCACTCTTCTCAACGAGAAGCCATAAGTAATAAGCCAAACATTTGAGCTCTTAAGGGGATCCACACTAGCAAGTACATAAAAAAAAATCTTCCTTATAAATCTCCCATATTTGGGGTTATTTTTGCATTAGGATTTGGTCTGAAATATCAGTGCACATATTTTACTGAACTACACAAATGGCAAAGCAACGACAGAAATCACGCGCTTTCTCTTGAGTAAACTGCACTACTTATTTTTCAGCATTTTCTACCTTGTTTAAAAAATAGCTCTGGGTTTAGAAATGTCAATTTTTCCACCCACTTCTATAGAGCAACCACTTCAGTGCACCTTCCAAAATATTTTCAAAATATTGCCTGCTGAATGTAAAAATCCAAATACACACACACAGTGGCTAAAACACTTAACTGGTAACAGAAATATTGGTGATTTGAGCCCATCAGGTGCTCCAGGGGGGTGGGGGTGCGGGGAGATGTAGCAGCCCATTTTCATATAGATCTACAGTCTTAGAAGTCCTATGGGGCATTTCTACTCTGATCTGTGGGAGGAACACTGTCAATCAGCAATGACCGGATGGCATTGGTGAGTTTCACTGCACATGCTATTCCTTTCGAAGTTCTCTTGTCCTCGATCCCAGAGCTTCACTGTAAGGAAGGTAAACTCACTGGAGGAAGCATTCGGTGAAAAACACTGCAACAGTGGTGTCCCAGATGGCTCTCTCCGTGTGGTGCTCTTCACTCACACATCGTTTGCTTCAAGCCATGTTCTATTTGTTTTTTAGGCTCGATCTATTTGATTCCCACTCCCAGCAATCAATAGAAGAAAACACTGCTGGGCATCGGTGCCACACTCGTGCCATTCTCACAAAGGTTGATAGGTTTGAACCCATTGTTGCAGCCACATTGTCAATCCATCTCACCAAGGCCTGCCTCTTTTTTGCTGCCTTTTCACTTTATCCAGGAGTCCTGGTGTCACACTGTTCACACAAGATAAGCACTTTGAAATCTTCAACCAATCCAAGGAAGAAAGATGGGCCTTTCTACTCCCAGAAAGAGATACAATCTAGGACATTTTTGGGAGCAGTTCTACATTGTCCTATGAGTTAGTGTCCACTCGATGGCAATGAATGTTTGGTTTGGTTTTGTTTTTTAAGGGAAGAGTTTCCACTTGACTAAGCATAGTGTCTTTTCCAGGGACTGGACTCTCCTGACAACATGCCCAAAACACTTGATGTAAAATCTAGCTACCCTTGCTGCTAAGGAGCATCCAGGTTGTACTTCCAAGACAGATGTATTTGTTCTTTTGGAAGGTCCTCATATTTTTTATGTTGTTTACTAGCACCATACTTCCAATGCATGGATTCTTCAATCTTCTTTACTCAATGTCCAACTTTCACATGCCTATAAGTGACTGAAAATATGACTTGGGTCAGGAGCACCTTATTTCACTTAGCAACATCATGCTTTTCCATATCCAAAGAGGTCTTGTGCAGCAGACCTAATGAAACCTGTCCTTTGATCTCTTGACTGCTACTTCTCTGGGTA